ACACACCGGTGTCTCAGTGGTATAAGGTACACACTGGTGTCTCAGTGGTATAAGTAACACACCAGTGTCTCAGTGGTCTAAGGTACACACCGGTGTCTCAGTGGTATAAAGTACATACCAGTGTCTCAGTGGTATAAGGTACACACCAGTGTCTCTGTGGTCTAAGGTACACACTGGTGTCTCAGTGGTCTAAGGTACACACCAGTGTCTCAGTGGTCTAAGGTACACACCGGTATCTCAGTGGTATAAAGTACATACCAGTGTCTCAGTGGTATAAGGAACACACTGGTGTCTCAGTGGTCTAAGGTACACACCAGTGTCTCAGTGGTATAAAGTACACACTGGTGTCTCAGTGGTATAAGGAACACACCGGTGTTTCAGTGGTACAAAGTACATACCAGTGTCTCAGTGGTATAAGGTACACACTGGTGTCTCAGTGGTCTAAGGTACACACCAGTGTCTCAGTGGTATGAGGTACACACCAGTGTTTCAGTGGTCTAAGGTACACACCAGTGTCTCAGTGGTCTAAGTGACATACAGGTGTCTCACTGGTATAAGGTACATACCGGTGTCTCAGTGGTCTAAGGTACATACCGGTGTCTCAGTGGTCTAAGGTACATACCGGTGTCTCAGTGGTATAAGGAACACACCGGTGTCTCAGTGGTACAAAGTACATACCAGTGTCTCAGTGGTATAAGGTACACACTGGTGTCTCAGTGGTCTAAGGTACACACCAGTGTCTCAGTGGTATAAGGTACACACCAGTGTCTCAGTGGTCTAAGGTTCTCACTGGTGTCTCAGTGGTATAAGGTACACACTGGTGTCTCTGTGGTCTAAGGTACACACCAGTGTCTCAGTGGTATAAGGTACATACCGGTGTCTCAGTGGTCTAAGGTACATACCGGTGTCTCAGTGGTCTAAGGTACATACCGGTGTCTCAGTGGTATAAGGTACACACTGGTGTCTCAGTGGTATAAGGTACACACTGGTGTCTCAGTGGTATCAGGTACACACCGGTGTCTCAGTGGTCTAAGGTACACACCGGTGTCTCAGTGGTCTAAGGTACACACCAGTGTCTCAGTGGTCTAAGGTACAACGGTGTCTCAGTGGTCTAAGGTACACACCAGTGTCTCAGTGGTATAAGGTACACACTGGTGTCTCAGTTGTCTAAGGTACACACCGGTGTCTCAGTGGTATAAGGTACACACTGGTGTCTCAGTTGTATAAGGTACACACTGATGGCTCAGTGGTATAAGGTACACACTGGTGTTTCAGTGGTATAATGTACACACTGGTGTCTCAGTGGTATAAGGTACACACTGGTGTCTCAGTTGTCTAAGGTACACACTGGTGTCTCAGTTGTCTAAGGTACACACTTGTATCTCAGTGGTATAAAGTACATACCAGTGTCTCAGTGGTATAAGGAACACACTGGTGTCTCAGTGGTTTTAGGTACACACCAGTGTCTCAGTGGTATAAAGTACACACTGGTGTCTCAGTGGTATAAGGAACACACCGGTGTTTCAGTGGTACAAAGTACATACCAGTGTCTCAGTGGTATAAGGTACACACTGGTGTCTCAGTGGTCTAAGGTACACACCAGTGTCTCAGTGGTATAAGGTACACACCAGTGTTTCAGTGGTCTAAGGTACACACCAGTGTCTCAGTGGTCTAAGGTACATACCGGTGTCTCAGTGGTATAAGGTACACACCGGTGTCTCAGTGGTCTAAGGTACATACCGGTGTCTCAGTGGTCTAAGGTACATACCGGTGTCTCAGTGGTATAAGGAACACACCAGTGTCTCAGTGGTACAAAGTACATACCAGTGTCTCAGTGGTATAAGGTACACACCAGTGTCTCAGTGGTCTAAGGTACACACTGGTGTCTCAGTGGTATAAGGTACACACTGGTGTCTCAGTGGTCTAAGGTACACACCAGTGTCTCAGTGGTATAAGGTACACACCAGTGTCTCAGTGGTCTAAGGTACACACCAGTGTCTCAGTGGTATAAGGTACACACTGGTGTCTCAGTGGTATAAGGTACACACCAGTGTCTCAGTGGTATAAGGTACACACCGGTGTCTCAGTGGTATAAGGTACACACCGGTGTCTCAGTGGTATAAGGTACACACTGGTGTCTCAGTGGTCTAAGGTACATACCTGTGTCTCAGTGGTATAAGGTACACACTGGTGTCTCAGTTGTATTAGGAACACACTGATGGCTCAGTGGTATAAGGTACACACTGGTGTCTCAGTGGTATAATGTACACACTGGTGTCTCAGTGGTATAAGGTACACACTGGTGTCTCAGTTGTCTAAGGTACACACTGGTGTCTCAGTTGTCTAAGGTACACACCGGTGTCTCAGTGGTATAAGATACACACTGGTGTCTCAGTGGTATAAGTAACACACTGGTGTCTCAGTGGTATAAGGTACACACCGGTGTCTCAGTGGTCTAAGGTACACACCGGTGTCTCAGTGGTCTAAGGTACATACCGGTGTCTCAGTGGTATAAGGTACACACTGGTGTCTCAGTTGTATAAGGTACACACTGATGGCTCAGTGGTATAAGGTACACACTGGTGTCTCAGTGGTATAATGTACACACTGGTGTCTCAGTGGTATAAGGTACACACTGGTGTCTCAGTTGTCTAAGGTACACACTGGTGTCTCAGTTGTCTAAGGTACACACCGGTGTCTCAGTGGTATAAGTAACACACCAGTGTCTCAGTGGTCTAAGGTACACACTGGTGTCTCAGTGGTCTAAGCCACAACGGTGTCTCAGTGGTCTAATGTACACACCAGTGTCTCAGTGGTATAAGGTACACACACCAGTGTCTCAGTGGTCTAAGGTACTCACTGGTGTCTCAGTGGTATAAGGTACACACTGGTGTCTCTGTGGTCTAAGGTACACACCAGTGTCACAGTGGTATAAGGTACACACTGGTGTCTCAGTGGTATAAGGTACACACCGGTGTCTCAGTGGTCTAAGGTACACACCAGTGTTTCAGTGGTCTAAGGTACACACTGGTGTCTCAGTGGTATAAGGTACACACCGGTTTCTCAGTGGTCTAAGGTACACACCAGTGTCTCAGTTGTCTAAGGTACACACCAGTGTCTCAGTTGTCTAAGGTACACACTGGTGTCTCAGTGGTCTAAGGTACACACTTGTGTCTCAGTGGTCTAAGGTACACACCAGTGTCTCAGTGGTATAAGGTACACACCGGAACGAAAGAACCCAAAGCGATCGAGCCTACTTTTCGTCATCGAAAACATATTTTGTTCCACTGGACATTCTCATTCATATCAAATGCTAGGGTGTCCTTCCTTTTGTTAGACAGGCAACTTAAGACAACACGATTTCCGGATGGATTCACAGCTAATTAGCCACCTGTACCCTTGGATAGGTCAAGGAACAACCCAGTTAGAGCATAACACCACATTAGTCTCTATCTTTTTTACTGTTATTTCATTTCAATACTTTGAAAATAAATAGACACTGAGTTCCTCTCTGCGAAGTAATATATTCTACTTTGCATAACCAAGCCATGCCGCTACCATCAATGTTGTTGCATAAGTGTTTAAGAGGTAGCCTTCTGCCTTAGTAATTTTGGCTGACCTGTTCCTCATGTGTGTGAGTAGGGTATACCATATCTATTGGTAATTTTAACAATTCCTGTTTTTGTTATAACATCTCTATTTTCGCACTGATATGATTACTTTTGATTTTTAGAAATTGATAGAATTTATTTGGCCTCTCTGTGTATAGACGTTCAGTAGATGACCATGATATTGCTGGAATAGGTTATCTCCCAAAACCCCTACATCCCATTTCCCCTACAACCCAGTTCCCCTACAATTAGTTAAAACAACACGCGGCATTTACCTGTCTGGCATTATGAACTCACCTAAAGGAGAGATTAAGGTCTGGAGTAGAGGTAGTAGAAATGAAAAGGGTAGAGCTTTAGGGGATTAGGGGACTTAAAGGAAAGTTAAAAAAAAAAAAAATTAATGTAAGTGTAATGAAAGATGCCTGTAGATGAGAAGACAATATTTAGAAATTACAAACAACAATAGGAAGAAACAATTATTACACTGAGAAACTGAGATGAGACGATTTACAGTTGAGATGAAAAATGAACATTTTGTTATAATGTATTATGAATTTTGAAAAATGAACATTTTATTATAATGTATTATGAATTTTGAAAAATGAACATTTTATTATAATGTATTATGAATTTTGAATAATATCGTAATCGTAATTAAATATTTATCTCAATCTATTCGAGTTTCTTGGGTTGTTCCATTGTATGACATAGGTAACAGACTAGGGATTAGCAGTGCCATGGACCGTGAACTTTGTTGTCTTAAGCTGTAGGGGAAATGGGATGTAGGGGTTTTGGGAGATTTCCCTGAAATATTGCATAGAGCGGCGTAAAACAACATACCCACGCACTCTAACAACTGGCTGTCTAACAAAGGCAGATAACCGCTGTTATTGCTCGCTTCCGCCACACAATGATCGGAGGACCTCCCATTACAGGTCACTTCAGACCGATGGCACACTGGGTAAAAATAGAACTGGTGCAACATTGAAAAACGAAATGGCAACCATTTCACAAAAGAACAAAAACAAGGAAACATGCATTTGTATAATTCGTTTCCACCATAGACCTGAAACACGTCCTGGGAATACACAAGGGTGATAATCACGTATAACTCAACAGAGCAAAATATAAAGAAGTCCGACGATGAAGCTTAATGAATGTCGTGAAGATAAACTATGATTGATAATTAAATTGTCCCCTGACACTATGTAGGTACTATAATGTCATTCGGCTAAGATGATGATGATGATGCTGTTTATTGTTTAACGCCGCACTCAGCAACATTCCAGCTATATGACGGCGGTCTGTAAATAATCGAGCCTGGACCAGACAATCCAGTGATTGACATCATGAGCATCGATCCGCGTAATTGGGATACGATGACATGCATCAACAAAATCAGCGAGCGTGACCACCCGATCCCGTTAGTCGCCTCTTACGACAAGCATAGTCGCCTTTTACGGCAAGCATGGGTTGTTGAAGACGTATTCTAACCCGCATCTTCACGGGTCCTTCCGGCTTAGAACTAGTATGAGGTTCTTAACTACACATCCATATGTTTAGTTTCTCATATATCAACACAAGGTGCTTTGGCCTGATCAGGGCCGTGTTTGTTTGTTTACATTTGTTTGTTTGTCATAATTTCTATTTCCACATATATGACGGTGGTCTCTAAATAATCGAGTCTGGACCAGACAATCCAGTGAATGACATCATGAGCATCGATGTACGCAGTGTCGATGACTATATGCGAGTGGTGATTTTATGGTGTATATATTTCATATGTATCTATAAGTTTCACACATATGTTTCATTTTCAGGTTAAATCTTCATAAATATGTATTTTTGAGTCCATGTCCATGACTGATACACACACACAGGCTACTGAGAAGCTAGAAATGGAAACAACGCCGATGTCATGACTGACGGGGGGGTGTTGTCGATTTCAAACACGTGCACGAGGCTCCTGACTTTCGCCCCACCTACCCCACTGCCTCGTCAGCATCTGCAAGAGATTACACACGTGATTAAAATATATTCCAGTTTGTAAACATTAACAGAGCCCTGTTAAACCGAGCTATACCATCCAAGTTAAATTGTCCGGATTAACAATTTCCGGATTAATGAGGGTGGTCAGTAATGCCCTTTGATTATGTGCAAATGTTTCCAATTGTAACTATCCAGTTTCGGATTAAGGCTTCGTACTAACAGGATTGCAAACTGACATATTCTGGGTATTTCGTAAAGTGAGAGTGGTTTAACATCGCATTCAAGATTAATGCTCTTATATAGCGACATACATGCGAGCGTGCGTTCGTGCGTGCGTGCGTGCGTGTGTGTGTACTAGCCTGGACTAATGCCAATTTGATTGTGCAAACACTCTGAGATGCCGCAGTGATACCCCACTCAAACACAGAATACTCCAGGCAGGGTAACAACAAGTACCATCTTTCAACGCATTTTTTGTACACAGTACACTGTGCTTACCTCCAACATCGTAGGAGGCATCTGAGGCACGTGCCCGTTCGAGGTCTTCCATTTCAACGTCAGAGTCGTCATCTCCACCGATTACGTCACTGATGACGTCACCATTGTTGTGGATGTTAATATCTCGCATGATGCGGTTCCTCATGATATTCATGTTGTAAGCGTTTTCATCATCCCTCATCCTTCTCTCAGACTGTTTTACTTCTGCGAAGAAGTAACTGAAACAATTAATGGTCCATGTGAAATTCTTCTGAGAAGATCCGGGTTAGAATTGGTCTTCAGTAATTCTTTATTGTGGGTGAAAAGCCCACGTGACGGAGGTCGTAGACGGTTTCCATCTTTGTGAATTTGATAATCAGGGGCGAACCCACGCACAGTAGATCCTGACACATCTAAGGGACATAACTCTCTACAGCGATTTGTAGCGCCTGTCACTGAACTGGAGGCGAGGTATATCTGACTCGCTTCTACTGATATAATTTAACATCTTAGAGGTAGCGAATGACGGCGGTCTGTACATAATCGAGTCTGGACCTGACAACCTAGTGATTGACATCATGAGCATCGATCAACAAAATTGGGATACGATGGCATGTATGAGCAAGTTTTCTTGTTTGTTTGTTGTTTAACGCCGCAATATTCCAGCTATATGACGGCGGGCTGTAAATAATCGAGCCTGGACCTGACAAGCCAGTGATTAATATTGTGAGCATCGATCCGCGCAATTGGGATCGATGACATGCATCAAACCAAGTCAGCGAGTCTGACCGCCCGATCCCGTTAGTCGCCTCTTACAAGCACAGTCGGCTTTTACGGCAAGCATGGGTTGCTGAAGACCTAGTCTACCCCTGGTATTCACGGGGGAAAGTGTCAAGACATTTATAGCGAGATGCTGTTATGGTGATAGTGATGACTGTGATGACGACCACGACGACGATGACAGCTATTTCTGAGGAAGTAGTTAGCTCATTCATTTAGTCAACACAACCAAAAACTTGGATTGAAGTAAAATCTACATGAAATCGATATTCGAATCATTATTTAAATATATTTCTTTGACGAACCCCTTTATGTTATCTAATTCATACAGATCGGAAAATATCGCGAAACTAATGTGGTCGGTTTCGGTATCTCCGATCCTTGTCAATATTTTCATATTTTCATTTGACATTCATTTTGACATCTACCGCTAAGCCATCATAAACCTTATATTAAATATATTCTAATCTATTCTAATCTAGGCATACAATAAACATTAAATGTTCGGATATATCATCAAACTTACCTTGCAGATCGTCTCGAATCTTCCTTGTCTTGTGAAAATTCCCTTTGGGAAACCCCCGTCTATGAGTTGTATCTAAATATAGACTCCAACAGCCGCGTGACTTCAGTTCGCGCAATTCCGGACAATGTTACGAGACGGGTCGATAATGTACGAATGACATCACCGTTACGACGTTTCAAGCAGCCGCATGAATTATGTCGGCCCGGACAAGACCGGAGATAGCCGAATGCATGACGTGAATCTGTTTTTAGAAACGCAGGTCGCCCGACCCAGTACATTGACTGGTTTTGCGGACAGAACTGCGCGCTCCAACAGAGACCGGGTGAAATCGGTTTTGAATTCTACCCATGAAGTATTGATGGAAGGCTTGGGACTGGGTTGGGACGGGTGGGGTGGGTGGGGGTGGGGGTGTGCGGGTGGAGTGGACAAGTGACCAGGGTGATTGTGGGATGAGGATCCCTGGCTAAAAGACCTATTACATGGCAATGTGCGAACTGGCATGTGCACACGTGTTTCGCTTTTCAAAGGTTTCATATCTCTCGTGTATTCGTTTGGAATTTTATTTTATTTACTTTTCAATGTGTGTCAATAACGTGTGAGATTAGTTTAGGTGAAAAAAGCAATGTTCTGTTTTGTTTGTTTTTTGTTTAACGCATTTGTTGTTTAATTTAGACAATCCAGTGATTGACATCACGAGCATCGATCCACGCAATTGGGATACGATGACATGCATCAACCATGTCTGATTCAGACTCGATTACGTACAGATCTAGACCTCCGTCATATAGCTGGAATATTGTTGAGTTAGGTGTTAAACAACAAACAAACAAGTAATAAATCTGTGTTGTATGGTCGTAACATTGCTGAGTGAGTGAGTGAGTGAGTATGGTTTTACGCCGCTTTTAGCAATATTCCAGCAATATTCCAGCAATATCACGGCGGGGGACACCAGAAATGGGCTTCACACATTGTACCCATGTCGGGAATCGAACCCGGATCTTCGGCGTGACGAACGAACGCTTTAACCACAAGGCTACCCGACCGCCCCTCGTAACATTGCTGACATCGATGTTAAACAACATACACTCACACACTTGGGGAAATACAATCAGGGATGGCGGGATAGCTAACTGGTTTAAGTGTTCGCTCGTCACACCGAAACCACAGGTTCGATTCTCCACGTGGGTGAAGCCAATTATAATGCAGTGTTTCCATCTCGGATCTGAACTATCAAACCAGTGCGTCACCTGAAACCAAAGGGAGACAACCGTCGAGACGCTAGAGCGGTTTCTACTTTCGACTTGAGGGGCAGTGGGGTAGGGGTCAAAGTGCTTGCTCGTCACGCCGAAGACTCGGGTTCGATTCCCCACATGGGTACAATGTGTGAGGTATATTTGTGGTGTCCCGCGCCGTGAATTTGCTGGACTATTGCCAAAAACGGCATAAAACCATACTCACTCACTCACTTGTCACGTACCAGTGTCATAACCACACGCCGCAAGTTTGCACCAGACACGGGCAAGCACGACATGCACTGTACCAATAACCCGGATAACGATTGTCACGTGCATCTCATAACGAGAATGTCTTGTAATTCGTTGCGTGTTAATTGGCTATTGTCTCCGTCACGCGCGTGTACATGCATACTCTGAAAGCTATTTGCAACGTTATTTGTATGTACCAATCACTCCAGCCATGCTGCATACCATTACGTGATGGCACTCTTCGCCACATCGCATACACTGTTATTAGGGACCGTCTCAATATCTATTGTGTTCATTATTTTGCAACTGTGAAAATGAACCTAATGTTAATAACAGTGCCGTCAGTGTATGTGAGATAGTTTTTGTTTGTTTGTTTGTTTGTTTGTTGTTTAACACCAAATTCAGCAATGATCCAGATATTTGACGGCTATCTGCTAATAATCGAATCTCGACCACACAGACCAGTGATTGACATATGAGCATCGATCTACACATTTGGGATACGGTGACATGCATCAACCAAGTCAGCGAGCCTGACCACCGATCCCGTTAGTCGCCTCTTACAAGCATGGGTTGTTAGAATAGGTCTTCAGCAACCCGTGCCTGTTGTTAGGGGCGACTAACGGGATCGTGTGGTCAGACTCACTGACTTGGTTGATGCATGTCACCGTATCCCATTGGCGTGGATCGAATATTTAGTATTTCCTTGTTCGGTCAAAGTGACCAAATCTGTATTCTATTGTCCGGTTGACTTATTTTAGAGATAGGCCCTCTGGGGCTATTTCCCATTATTCAACCCAGCCGAATTTAGTTACTAATTAGAGTGTTGAGTAAATTAATTATGTGATAATTGGTCGCAGCTGACTTAATTGGCTCTCACATCTGGTCGGTATCCTGTCAAAGTGTTGTTTTAATTACTCTCATTTTATTACCGTAATACAGGTTCTTAGCTAAGCCGGGGGCGGTCGGGTAGCCTGGTGGTTAAAGCGTTCGCTCGTCACGCCGAAGACCCGGGTTCGATTCTCGACATGGGTACAATGTGTGAAGCCCATTTCTGGTGTCCCCCGCCGTGATATTGCTGGACTATTGCTAAAATCGGCGTAAAACCATACTCACTCACTCACTTAGCTAAGCCGCTTGTGTATTTGCTCTGATGTAATCAATCAGTGGTCTTTTTCAGCGGAGATTGGGGTTATTTGATCCTTTTATTGTCGACTGTTGGTACAATTTGCTGTTATTAATAAATCGGTGAACCTATTACCACGTTTTTATTATTACTTTATTCTTGTGTTATGACGCTCCTGACCATTAGAGTACACCTCCGTGACACTCGTGATATCAATCACTGGATTGTCTGTTCCAGACTTGATTATTCACAGAACAAAACAAAAACCTTTTTCATCTTGTGTGTCTTTGTTCTGGAACACACACAATACTTCACATCTCTGTCAGAGTGACAAAGAGTGGTTGCTGTAATATTTTCAACACATCAACACAACACGATGTAAACAAGGGGGCACGGGTGGCCCAGTCGTCTAAGGCGCGGCGATTCGCTGTGCAGAGTTGCGTCCCTTGGGCACGCCAGAAACCTATGATCGTGGCTTCGAATCCCGGTTCGCCCCGATTATGTTTTTAGGTTTGTCAGCACCATACCCGTGCTCGTGGGTTTCACCGAAGTGGTAAACGTCTGAGACCTGCATCACTTCGGGCTTTTCTCCCACATTAAGCTGACACGCCGTGATATAACTGGAATACTGTTAAAAGCGGCGTCAAAAACAACTCGATGTAAACCGTCATGAGACGACCCTTCAGACAACTGATATGTGCGTAACTAATACACCCAATATGTCCCAGGTTCATCGCTTGGTTTATAGGTACAGTTAACGAATAATCTCCTCATAACTAGGCACCTGGCGCACGACTTTCACCCACTTCTCGCTCAACCAAGAATCACATGATGCAATTCAGTACAATGTATTCATTCGCTTTTTTTTATTCACTCATAATTCTTTAAACTATCTGTCGGAGACCCCATCTTCAACGAGGTACTCCCTTATCGCCGTTGTGAGCCGAATTTGATATGTTTGTTTGTTTGTTTGATTGTTTGTTTGTTTGTTTGATTGTTTGTTTTTTGCACTCGGCAATATTCCAGCAATATTCCAGCTGTATGACGGCGCTCTGTAAATAATTGAGTCTGGAGCAGACAGCCTTTGATTGATGACATGCCATTGATCCACGCAATTGGAATACGATGACATGCATCATGCATCCCGTCCAAAGACACCACTACACCTCCGTTTATGTAGGTTATGTGACCGCCAGTGTGTCGAACACGAAGTACATTTCCTCACAGAATGTGAATTCTACTCTGATCTACGATATGACTATTCTCATTTGTTTTCTCCAATACATACTTGTCTAAGAAGTTTAACCCCAGAAGACCAATTTATATAATTATGTTATGCAGAATGATAGTCTAGCTATTCCCCTAGCCGCAGTTGCTACTGCTATGTATAAAAGAAGAAAATTTCAACTTGCATTGTAAGTAGTGCACTTCTGATCCACAAGTATCTCACTAAACGATACTAGCATAATTTCTTTATATAAAACTGAGCTATTTTTGAGCTCTCGTCTCTTACCGGCCAACCGGCCGGGTGGTATATTATATATATTTGTCTTGTACTTTGAATGTATGTATTTTTATACTGCGTGACACGCAAATAAAATATTATCTTATCTAATCTTTATCTTATCTTATCAACCACGTCAGCGAGCCTGACCACCCGACCCCGTTAGTCGCCTGTTACAAGCATAGTCGCCTTTAACGGTAAGCATGGGTTGCTGAAGACCTATTCTACCCCGCATCTTCACGGGTATGCGAATAACTAAAACCTAACCAAAAAAGGTTTCGTTATTCAGAATAATTTATTCTAATTAAGGATCATAAAAAAAGGTGAGTCGAGTATCAATTTCCACCCACGATCGGAATATCCTGGTACAACTAAGGGACGCAACTCTGAAGAGCAAAGAGCGATGTTTTAGACCAAAAGGCCACTCAGTGCACCCACTGAGATTTTGAAGGAGACAGCATAGCTTCGATATGGAATATGTAATGTCTCGACATTTGTGAAGAGGTCAGTATTGGGCGGGGTGGCTTCTAGACTGCTTGACACGCCACAAGATGGGCGGGGTACTTTAATAACCCTTTCAATAAAAACAGACGCGAGTGTCACTTGATTAACTACAACACAGACACCAACAGTAATTCAACAGTGATCGATGTCAATGTCAAACTTGACAGGTGTTGTACATCTCACTTTCCCGGGAATGTTCACGTGAAGCACGTGGTGCGGGGACATTGTTTACACTGTCAATCAACGAGACACGCCCTGCGCGGAATCCACGTGGTGTTAGCCAACTCAGGCCTCAACGTGATGTATGTATTTTCTGATTAAGAGTACTTGGATTATTACGATATATTAAAGAGTGAGTGAGTGAGTTTGGTTTTACGCCGCTTTTAGCAATATTCCAGCAATATCACGGCGGGGATCACCAGAAATGGGCTTCACACATTGTACCCATGTCGAGAATCGAACCCGGGTCTTCGGCGTGACGAGCGAACGCTTTA